TTGTTAACAGTAATGATCTAATTGGTATCCATAATGATTAATTTACATAGGTGTTTATCTTGGTTTTAATTATCATAATAAATAAACACCCCCCCCAAAAAAAAAAAAAAAAAGAAAGAAAAAAACAACAAAAAAACCCATGTATTATTTATTTTATACTTTTATTTCATCAGACACTATCAGTTACCCTTACCACCCGGGACATGTTACATATCCACCCAAGAAATACAAATGGAACATTATTTACATATCCGACTATACAGTACCTTTCCCTTTTATCTTGCGCATCAGATTACAACAGTAAGACATTCTTTGTACATTTGAATGTAGCATTAATATTTACGATAGATATGTCTGCATCATCTCCCTTAATTCATCAAGTTTTTCCCCCATTTCTTTTGACCATTACACACTGCAGCCTGAGGACTCGCATCTCGGGATTTAGACTGAAATAACTTACAGAAGCCGGGAATGTGGAGACAAAAACAGTTCTTCATATGTAACTTGCCCAGTACGTGGCAGATTAAGTGGAACATTTTTGTATGTGACCATTCATAATAAGAAATTTTTTAGGGTTCAGCAAGAGAGAGTAACAACATATTATTTCTTTAAGTTACAGAAATATTCAAAAGACATATATTCATATATTTGTTATTATATTTATCGCCCTCCATGTGAGGATCATCCAAGTATTCAGCAGTAAAACAATACAATTCTTCCGACATTACTTTAACTCCAGTATCGACAGCAACAACAAAAAAAAAAAAAACAACAAATAAGCAGACTACACTGAACAAAAAGGGAGAGCAATGCACTGAGCACCTCAGACATAACACCACACTCACATGTGCAAACTTAACACCACACGTAACCCGTGTGGCACAACCTTGGAATTCAACCAAAACAATGACACTAATGAACCGAATCAAACCCCAGCACCTGGGCATTCCGTGGAGAGGGCAGCAGTCAAATGGGATCAAAGGTTAGATCAACAGGACTAGCCAAAACAAAAACAACCAACTAAAGCATGCACCACCTGTTGGTATAACCCTAGCTTAGATCACGTGGTCCACGCCTGCTAGGAATGCAGGCATTTCAGGGAAACAAAAAGCTAAATTAATGAGCCAATTGATAAAGAAAGACCTACTAGTACTGCTACAAGGACCTGGACACAGAGAGCCCTAGTAAAATTGATCACTTTTAAGGCATTCAATTATTTCAAATAACAAAACACAAGTCCGGCCCCATTTAATGAAACAGAGGCTGATTATAATAAACACGGTTTCACCGGCAACGCATGTATTTGGATGAATGGAAAGAAGGACGACACATTTGATCCTACCTTTTATCCATCTAGGCCGTTGCTTACAAAAATTAATTTCAGACCACCCATAAAGACATCTGCTTGAAGCTCTTCCCAAGAATCATGCAGAAGCTCTTGTTACCGAAAGGATTTGTTTCAAACCTGACTGCATGTAAATGGTAAATTAACAGCTAATGATCCCTTTAGATGGGGGGGGGGGGGGG